ATGAGAAAGTGGAAAATGGTCCAGAAGTTGTCTTTTCAAAGACAAATTAATTTTCTTCCCAATAACTTACCAGAAAGAAATGGGTATTTAGAAAATCCTAAGGGGTTCTTTAAATAGAAAAAATATATAAAACTTACAAAAAAAAAAAAAAAAGCAAGAACAGAACATTGTTAAAAAATAAGACTTTCTTTAAAGATTAATCGCTCTTTAAAGACTGATGCTATATAAAATAGGCAGATACGTTTCTATAACTCATCATGTTTATATGTAAATTCTCTGGCAGATATAAATCCATCTTTGTCTTCATCTTCTTTATCAAAAATGTCCTCCACCAAAGCATCATGATGACTTTCATTCACCACTGCACCATGCTTTTCAAACTCCTTCTTCAAATAGACTTTAACCTACGAAATAACAGATCTCATTAATAAGTGATTCTCAAGATACTTACGTTGGACCAATCAATATCATAGACCTGCACCAGTAGGTCCTTTAACTGTGTATGGTAACCCAAACATCTACTCTGTAATATATTTCTAATCACAGTATAATATTCTAAGGATCTTTCCCCTTAAAAGTTATTGCTAGGGATCAGCAGGTGGTGTGGTGGTTAAGGCAACTGAAGTCCCACATGACAGATTTTGGTTGAGTCCCAAAATTCGATTTTCAGCCCTTCTGGTGGCTTGGAAATCACACTTGGGCTGTGGAGTGGACACCAGTACTCCAAGATGTTGTCAGTTGTACCAGTGAAGGAAAAGAAACTCATGGATGTCAGACTTGGGGAGCTGCCAAGCTGGATACTGATGCGGGATTTTACCCCTAAAGGCATGGCTGGAGCATTTCAGAGAGGTTACTACCGGTATTACAACAAGTACGTCAACGTGAAGAAAGGGGGTGTTGCTGGGGTTTCTATGGTGCTGGCCGCTTATGTGCTCTTCAGCTACTGCCTTTCCTATAAGGAACTCAAACACGAGTGGTGACGCAAATACCACTGAAGAGGGCCAGCATGGAGGCCATACACTGAACCAGACCTTCATCCCCTCGGTTTAGCACCCCTCCAGAGGATCTTGCTGAGTACTTTCATATCCCAGTCAAGAACTCACATCCAATAAAAGATGACTGGTATGTGTTTAAAAAAAAAGAAAAGAAAAAGACAATCACACCAGGTGCATGTGCATGCGTGCTCACAATCCTGGGAGAAGAATGGAGGAGAAAGGATTGCAGTGTGGCTATCCCCCCAGAAGGTGATTTCTTACTTTCCCTCTCACTGTCTCTCTGGCTACCTCCTCTGCAGAGAGCACATGTGCCTTAAGGCAAAAACCTTAAAAAAAAATTGTTGCTACAGTACTATAGGAAGACATAAAATATTACTCAAAGATAAAGAGAAAGCTTATATCATGTATATAATCCTTATATAAACAGAAGACTTATATTAGCTGAAAAATATCTAATAAAAATATACGACCCATTCTTAATGAGTCTAAATAAAGCCAAGAATATGAAAGACTGTCCTCTTTCAAGCTAATGAGTTACCCAGACCTTCTTTTCCGTCATACTTCCAGATACTTCCCTTAAAACAGAAATGGCTGCATATTTGACCTGGCTAAGTGTCTGGAGGTGGTAGGAGCTGTTGGCCTGTCTATAATCATCCCACTATAATTGAGTCTAATTGTGCCCTTCCAGCCTCAGAAATTAAAGCAAAATTCAGTGTGATGAGTACCTAGACCTCGAGTTTCCATTTCCATTCAGATATTTCAAAGTACAAACTTGTAAGCTCAGTTTCCCACTAGCTTCACCACAATGCAATTCAAATCGTTCTTTCATTTTTAGTCACATCCCTACTCTTTGATTTAGATCAGAAATTTCAAATCCTCTCTCCTCCCTCATACCCAACATGCAAACATACAGTACGATGTAAATTTATTTATTTTATTTGCCAGAGGGTGTGCACACTCACCAGAGAGAGAGACAGAGAGAGAGAGAGGGGAGGGAAGGAGGGAGGGAGGGCGAGAAAACATCCCTCCGCAAGGTATGGTCACACTGTAATCCTTTCTCCTCCATTATTCCATCCTATCAGGATTTCGAGCACACACACACACACACACACAGTCAGTGGTTTTTTTTTTTTTTTCCAAGTCACCAGTGCCAGGATACAAATTTTAAGGTAGCCCTGTGAGATCTAGCTCTCTAACCACTAAGCCACGGGACTGGCCCAAAGGGCATATTGAAAGACAGGTATCCATGCCACTATCCTTTAACCTCCACTGACTATGCATTGGGGCATGTACCTCCACTCCCAATATTTAAAGTTACAGTAATTCAATGCAGTTGTATCAAAAGTATTCTGTGGATTAATGTAGACTTTATCTCCAGGATACACTGCATGAATTAAGCAAGATGCCCTATAGTAAGTACAGTTTGCTACCTTTTGCATCAGAAAGGGGGAAAAGAATACATATTTGTGCTTGCTTTTATTTGCATTAAGAAAAACTAGAAAAATATATTTGAAACTATAAAACTGGATATAGAGGGAACACTGGAAATGGAGGGTCAGCAGGTGGCACAATAAAAGGGGCTGGATTCCCACATGGCTGACCATGGCTAGAGGGCCGGACTCGGCAGCACGCTTTCTTGCTTTCTCTTTCTCTCTCTCTGTCTCTCTAGTCAAATTCAAAAATAATAGTAACAAGTGGAATTAAATAAATAGATAAATAATTCTTAAAAAAAAAAAACTGGATGTGACATCATAGGGTAGAAGAGGATATGGGTAGGAGGAAGACTTCTTAATAAGTACATTTTTTTTTTTGAGGAGATTTTCACTACAG